CATCTGGTATTCCTTACAAATGCATTCATCAGGAATCCAGGCATTGCTCCAAAGACCATTTGTGGGTAATATACAATGACATTTTTGCATTGCTGGGTTATATGCAATTAAAAAAAAAGTAGGATTGATGGTATTTGTAAAGCCCTTTCCTCTCTTATACCCAAGGTGAGATTCAGTACCAAAATCTTGTTTACGGACTTCTTGTTGTGACTGTGATAATGAAAAACTTGTGCAATTTCTGAGACATCTGTCTCGGTGGGGATGGGTTGCAGTGGAAACATTAATATTGCAAATTGGTTTTTTTTTCTATTAAAAGTAAATATTCAAATGTGATCTAAATAAAGAAAACAATAAATGATATTCATTTTTATAATTACCTCGATTGTCTGGGAATCACACACATTGCTTACGTACAGCTTGAAAAAGTGCTTGCTTCAGATGCACATTTGATAGTAACAAATACTTTTTATCGGGCTCGGGGAATGGAGTGCAACTTTCTCCATGTTATCTGCAGTTTAGAAGCTGCTTTCTTACAAACAAGTACAAATCCCATAAATGCTGTGAAGGTTTTGTGGCCATATGCACATAGGTAAGAGAGATCTCTCTTTAAATTATTAATTGTTTTTAAAAAAAGTGAAATATAACTTTTTAAATATGTGCCACTATAATATATTCATAAGATTTGCCATCACAACAGTATTGTTGTCTTGAAACACGTGTCAAGGAGGCACTGTTAAGTAGAACAAATGGTTCTACATGTGGTCTTAAAAAAAAAGTACAGTATTTAAATGAACATTTTATAATAATGAAAAGGTTTGCATGTGTGCAAACTAAATAAATGTCTATGTATATTGTAGTGCAAATAACTGCAATGGATAGATAAAATACTTGAAGCATACTTCTGGCATGCTTGTTGTCAGATGGTATAAATGAAAACATAGAATAAAGCTGGAGTTTCAATGTGAATAGTATAGACCTATTCATTTTCTGTCATCTAAATGTTTGGTATGTAGGAACATACAGGTTTTGGTTTGTTGCTATGTTGGGCTGATCCTGCAGTCCTTAGCGAGGCAAAGCTACCCTTTGACTCCGAGAGACTACTGGCTGGAACTTCACTGTGTGTAAACGCTCTCAGTTGCTGAGAGTTTTACTTGGAGGATCAGGCCCATTGTTAAATGTGATAAAAGTAGGAGATGTTACTACTCTCACTTCTGTCATATGATAACTGCAGGTACCAGCAAGGACTTTATTTAAGGCTGGTGTCGTTATTCTCCAACACTGTTAAAAGATCTGTTTTGAATGTTGAGGTTTAAGGAAACAATTTCTTGCCACACAGTTTTCTGATTTGAGACCACAGACTTTTCTGTGGGAAGCACATTTTACATTGCTTATCTAGATATTGTGCCTTCAGAAAATACAAAGAATTTCTAGGAAGAATATAAATAGTAGGAAGAAGAAGAATTGGTTTGTTAAAATATATTTATATAAAAGAATGTTGATAAGTGTGTGTGAAAACTGTGGTTACGTGTAATGTCTTTCTTGTATTAATATTGAATTTTAAGCTAAAACAAGATGTTAATTGAGACTTAAGATATTTGACTTATGGATAAAATATTGGCAATTAGATGTCAACTTGGTTTGAAAAGGAAACAGGAATTTAATAAACTAGTTAAAAAGCTTATTTTGCAAGGTTACATATACGATATTGCTAATTATCAATTTTATGACACATACCCATTCTGTTAATTTATTAGCAGTGGCAGTAGAAATAACAGTGTAACTCTTTTCTCTGAGAACATTTGCAAGTAGATCGTTAAGTGAGATGTGTTTCAGAGATATCAATGGCGAGAAATGAAAGGGATTCTTAATTAAATTAATAAATAAAATGCATATTAAAGTTTTATTGTGGTAGTGGAATTAGAGGTCTGCTGTTACCACCAGAGATACTCTCTCTTTACATCAGATGGGTCCCAGACATTCAGGCTTGGACTGTTTCTCAGTCCAGCTGACTCCCAGCCCAGGCATCCCCAAGAGCAGTGACTAAGGACTCCGATCTTGTTTTAGAACATGTTGCTTGATTTTTTTTTTTTACCCGCCCTTGCTTCATTAAGTGCCTCTCCCCGCTCCCCCCCCCATATAATCCTATTCTGCTGCTTTATAGTAGCTGCACCTGGGCTCCATAAACTGATTAGGAGGGAACAACTTCCACTGGGCTGCAATAACATTCTACAGCCACCTACTAGGAAAGTGACGCAGGCTGTGCCATTAGAGACTCTGGAAACCATCTCTGTGATGCTTTCAGATCCTGCTGTCTTGAGTATGAGAGTTCTAATGCAATTTCTGAACTAGGATCTCTCATGTGGTAGTATGTTATTTTACCAGCTGTTCTGATGCCAAGGACAAAATCTTGCTCACCTCATTCATTGAAAACTCCCATTTGGTTTCATTTGGAGTTTGGTGTAAGTAAGACAAACAGGAATTGTATGTGAAAGAGACATGCTTGATATATTTAGCCCTCCCCAGCTTTGCAAATCTTTAGGAAATGTCTTAGATTTTAAAATATTTAAAAGTCATTCTCCATTTTGCTGAGAGAGTACTAACTGCTTTTTTTGACACAATGCATTAAAAGTATTGGTCTAGGATCTGCATTATTTTACTGATGTAAATCAAGAGTGAATGGAGTTGGTGTGACATCAGAATGGGGCCCATTATCCGAGCTCCACCTCTCTACTTTGCAGCAAGAAATTAACTGACAAATGCTATTGCTGCAACTGGGCAGATTTCTATGTACGAGAAATGAGTGATGGAGTGTTTATGTAGATACGTTTATGGGCCTAGTCCTGCAATCCTTTTTTAGGCACAACTTACATTGAAGTCCATGGAAGTTTTGCTTGTGTAAGGACTGAGGGATCCAGCCTAATATTTACTACGTCTCCATTAAAAGCAAAAAGAAATATACAAACATTTATCAGATTAAAAATAAAATGCCTGGTATCACCCTATTCTAAGTTTTTAAGAAGGGAGGATTAAGAGAACTTCAAAATGAGAAAAGCAGTAACAGTTGAAAATGGCAGAGAAAACAAGAGGTGAGAAGATATGAACGTGAGTATAAACGTTTGTGTATGTCTAAGAATCTGAATCAAATAACATGCAGGTTCATTTTAAAAAGTGCAGGGAATTGCATTGTCTGATTATAATACCTGTTTAGATGTGGTAGGATCATTTTGATATTTTGTGAATGAATTTAGTACTCATGAAAGTTGGAAATCAGTGGTATTATTGTGAACCAGGCATAGCAGGAATTAGTGCACTAATCAAGTTCTCCTGGTACGGACATGTGATACCTACGGTATTCCAGTCCTAGATCTCTCTTGAACAGAGACATAATGACAAATTGTGTGATGGTTCTGTGATGTGCAGAAAATTATACAATTTTATATATGACCATACAATTCATATGTATGTAACACCGACCAGGATGCTGCTAACCTAGAAAACAATAGATTCAGCTACAAGACGCAAAATCAACATCAAACTAAAGCTGCTTGCACACAAACCCTTCGAATCCATTTAAAATGTAAAAGGTGCTGAATGCCCACAGATGCTGAGACTGACTTAGCTGGTGCAAAAACTGAAGGTCAGATGAAATGTCCTTGGGTGTTTTTTAATAAAGGAGGCACATTTTAAGTTGATTCAAAATCCATGTATGTGTTTTATCCCTTGCATGGGATAAGAGGGTGCAACTGACTGACTAACACCACAAAGCTTATTTTTTTTACTTGTGATTTGAACTTTGGTTTCTAGAAAGGCTAGTGGTTATAGTCAATTCTGAAACAAAGTATTTTTCATCCTGTAGACATGAAAGGAACAAAGCGGGATTATTCTTTTTTCCTCATACATTGTTAAGTGCTATGTTGTAGGTGGTCTTGATAGCAGGGGGCATTTTTTTACTGCAGCTTCCACAGTGTGGAAAGGCATTAAAGGGGGCACTTCA